AATCGAAACTCCATGATGGAACAGTGGTCAACACAGTTTCTTACAACATGGAAGGACTACTGAAATTGTCCGTTGACAAATATCTCGACATTGTTGGTCACGATACCAAGATGAAAGCAGTCAATACACCAAGTCTCCCCGAAGAGACCAAAGAACATCCGGCACGGGCTCCGGCTCCCGGAAAGGATTGCACCACTTGCCCTTGGTGCGCCAATACTTTTGACCCCAAGTACAGTGGTAAGACATCATCTGGTAAAATTCAAGACGTCGCAGATACAGATGAATGTCGTGGAGCACTTGCGCCACATGCTGCCAGCGTTCTTATGAAATTGCTATACGCAGCCAGGATTGCAAGGTTCAACCTACTTCGTTCTAAGTCTATCACAATGTTGGCACGTAATGTCAACAAGTGGACAACAAAGGACGATGCCAAATTACATCATCTGATGTGCTACGTAAGTAGCACGTTAGACAAGCGCATGATCGGATGGGTAGGAGACTCTCTTGCTAACCTCTCAATCGGAATATTCGCTGACGCTGACTTTGCTGGCTGTGGTGACACGTTGAGATCCACCTCCGGATCCCACATGCATGTGTAAGGACCGCACACACGATTTCCTATTGCAGGTGGTAGCAAACGTCAAGGTTGCGTGAGTCATTCCACTCCCGAAGCCGAGATTGTTGCAGCAGATATGACCCTCCGCAATTATGGAATTCCATCCATCGGTCTATGGCAGACACTCACTGGCAAAGCGCCAGAAATTCCTCTTCCATGATGACAATCAGGGTATGATTGGTGTCGCCAGAACTGGTCGGAATCCTACAATGAGGCACCTGGAACGCACCCATGGCACTTCCATCGTGTCTTTGCACGAACATTTCCAAAGTGACCATTTTGCGCTACTCTATGAGATCTCTCACAAGATGTGCGCCGATATCCATACAAAGGCTTTCCGGATGCCTCTTGCTTGGCGCCGAGCTTGTATGTTGATCTACCTTCTTGATTCTTGATCCCTCAGATTTGAGTTCTCAAGAGCTTGCCGACATGGTCTCCCCATCGGTCGACCACAAAAAGATTGACCACCAAATGTTTCAGACCAAGACTGATGACATACCCAATTTCCCTTGTGCGCAGACTCCAGTCTTATCACGAGCCGTGTTTCACAAGGGCTTGACCGGCAAGGAAGGGGGTATAAGACCTTCCCAACAGTGATTGTCTGTATGTCGTCAAAGTCCCAGTCTACTATCGTCGGTATCCACCAGGACGATTCATTCCTCATGATGCGTGTCGGAGCACCTGGGTACTTGTCAATGGTTCCTGGAATCGAGTTGAGACGGAAGCACCACCCTTACAACAGGCCCAACGTTTCGACCAATGGGTCGAACGAGCATGTTTCCGGTACCATGTCTCGAAGGCCTCTTCCACTTCGGAAGCTGGTGTGTGTTCATCGTTCTCGCCTCTTCCTGCCTTGGCCAATGTCCCATGGACTCCTGATGCTGTCCTTCAATTTTCATTCGAGCCTGTCTCATGTGATCCTCATTCGCCTCCAAACGATTGCGACCTACCACCCTTCGTGTGATCAACGCGCTAGTACGTCTTGTTCATCGGGGGAGCGGGGGGCAGGACGGTGCATTAATTCGCGCTTGCGGTGCGGTCACTGACCATTTCGACGCTCAGGATTCGAGATCAAAAACAACAAAAGCAAATAAAAGGTATCAAGATGAATGGCGTTTGGATGGACGCGTGCTGATAAGAGTGCACAACGTCCCAAGAACAAGCAAATTTGTTCCTTCAGAATGTGATGATTGCCCGGTCGACATTGATTTGTTGACTGACGATCGGACCACTGAACTGTTTTTTAGAAACGGTAAAACCAAAGAGCACGATATGTGTCGCTTTCGAGGAAACTCCACCGGGGGAAGTGTGAAGAATGGATCGGAACAACCGAGTTCCGTGTCCTCACTGAAGACATGGAAAGGGCAACTGGCAAAGTCGTCGCAAGTGCTCAACAAAGCAAAAACATCACCATGTGTACACAAGCGTGGGGACTGAGCATCATTCCACAGAGCAATATGTTTGTACTTCAATCCTTCCAATACATGACAAGTGAATCCTTGACTGGACGAAAACCGGTGTTACATCTGATTTTACAAAGACAGTCAGGTAGATCACACAAATATCAGTTCGAGCTTCATACCGGAGAGGAAGGAAATGGAGGTTATAAGGGTAAAACCCGTGCTCGCTGTTTGATCCTGCATGAAATGGATAGAACCAAAGCTGGTTCACGTTCCTGCAAACTTCGATGAAGAACCCATTCATGAACGTCGTCACCATCACGGAAGATGACGATGCAACTTCCCCGTATGGGAACAGCAAGGTAAAGGCGTGTGCAAGATCTGAGCTCGATTGTGTGTTTTTTGCCGGACCATGTACTGGAGGATCAGCTTGGGATCGCTTGAACCGAACGATCAGCAACAAAGCAGCGATGCAGATTAAGCAACACCAACAATTGTACTGGAAATTTGGGGAAAACTTTGCATGTGTTTTCCATTGATGCTTGCGCGTTGACTGAGCTGCCGAGAGGTTGTGAATATTGGAACGATAAGCGTATGGTGCAACTTGTGAATGGGACTGAGTCGCACGTACATACCTTTGACGGACGCATGTATGGTCTCACATCGCAATACAACGCAAAGGGTTTACCCATCAAAAAGCCGTGGAAAGTAGTTTCATGGGGGGTACACTTCAAGGAATTGCAGAAGACTTGCGATGGTCGTCATCAACATGTGCCTTGTGCGGGTAGGGATCACCCTGCTCCCAACAGCGAAAAGGACACTGGAAGATGTGACAAATCATCGCGATCCACAAGCATTAGCGCGATGGATGAACGTCATGGACAAAGATCAAATCCAACAGCTGCATGATGGACCAATACCATAAGGTTGCGCCTGAGAATGAAGCACCAACCACAGAAATAGCTTCATCAAGCAATCGTGCTCGAACACGTGAAAGAGAACGCGACAGAAAAGGAGAAGGAAAAGGAAAGATCTATGGTCCAGCCGCCCCGCAAACCTGGGAACAAACCAACAGGTATGCTCGAGATTGGCGTCCACCAGCCATGAATAGCTATGGAGCAACATTCAATGATGGTGTATGGACAAAACCAAGATTTCGACGTGATCCAGGACATTGGGATGCACCATACTATGGCCCAAATATGAAAACAACACGAAGGAGCTGGCGGAAATGGGATCAAGATCACGAGCAAGATCAAGAAGAGGAAGACGATACCTGGCAAGAACAAGGCTAGCGCACGACACTAGACCGTGGAAGCTGTAAGAGTATCCGTATGTGAACTTTCTACAGATGGAGGAAGCAATGCTCAATCTAGGAGAAGTACTGAGTGGATTCTGAGCGAGGCAAAACCTTCACTGTCGGTTTTCGCGAATTAAAGTCATAAACAACTTACGGGACTTGCACGCTGTATAGATATGTAAAGACCGCTTAGTTTCAATAGTGATGTGTAGTTAGAGTTTATTTCGATAAGTCTCGCGGCAAAATACCTAGCGAACCACTGTTTCCACTACCCTTGAACTTGAAGTGTGACTGTCGCTGAAAGCATCAGCCACATGGGGGGTGTCAATAGCAGTGGAACGATAGCGCAGTCTGTATATGTACAGTACACTACAAGCGTGTGATGCCAATTTGGCTCAAGACTCCCGTTGCGCAGAAGAAAAGGGTAGCGCGGGAGAAGAGGATGGTCAACTTGTACTTCCCGTCAAGCTGATTAATATCCACATGCATGCTGTACACACATATATATATATAGATATAATAGGATATATTATATATATGTTTTTTAATTAGACCACTTAAGCTATCTCTGATTGTTTTGCAAAATAATAGAAAAGCAACGAAAAGCAACTACAAAGAGAAAAAGAAAAAACAAATGAAAAATCAACAGCAAAAAAACAAATCCAAAAAGGAAATTAAAATATGCAAAAATCGAAAAACACACACAAAAACAAAAAATGCAATGAAAAATATAAAACGAAACAAATGCGAACAAAAAGACAAATGAAAAAACAAAAAATAGGCGAACAAAAAAGCAAAACCACAATGAAAACACCAAAAACGGAAAACAAACCAAAAAATCAACAACCAACAGGCCCAAAAAAAACGGAAAAATGCGGGCAAACAAAAAAACGACTTTAAAAAACACGAAAAAAACGAAAAGAACACCACGAAACATGTGAAAAAGGAGCGGGGAAAGAAATACGAATAAAAAACTGAAATTTGTTTTTGTTTTTGGATTTGTTTTTTTGCTGTTGTGTTTTTTGTTTGTTGGATTTGTGTTTTTTGTTGTTTTTTTGATTTGTTTTTTGTTTTTGCTGTTTCATGTGTTTTTTCTGTTTGATTTGTGTTTTTTGCTTGTGTTTTTTCTTTTGTGTGTTTTGCCTTTTGGAATTCATTTTTTGTTTTTTTCACGTGTTTTTCTTTTTGGGTTTGTCTGTTTCTTGCGTTTGTTTTTGTAGTTGTTTTTTGTTGTTTCCGTTTTTCCTTTTTACTATTTTCAACATTCACAGAGTTAGCCTGGGTCCGGTGAACATAAATATATATACAGTATATATGTATATATGTGTATTCAACAACCACGTGGTGGAGACAAGGGGGAAGTCACTTGCCCGACAAAGAGACGAAGCTGCAAGGGGTATCAAGGAGCCGCGACCTTCAACAGACAAGATAGAGGGAAAGACTAACCCCAACCCAAGAAACTTCAGAGTGTGAGCCAAATCGAAGGCAGGAACTACAAATTACGCAGCGTTATCTTGTGTCGGACAGAAAACTGAAAGATGAAGCGTCAGACTGTGCGGCGACAAAAAACTGTCACAATACTCTGCCGCTCTCGTTGCGATAGGGAGGAAATGGGTGGAAATGGCACCAAGACAGTGGAAAAATATGTGTCCATGACAAGGCTAAAGTATGCTAAAGTATTCAGGCTTTGGCGGGATTCTGGCAGATGAAATGGGGCTCGGCAAGACTGTGCAAACTGCGGCCTTTTTGGCGTGCTTGAAGTTCACGAATCAAGGAGTGAGGCATGGCATGAAGGAAGACGCAAAAGTTGACAAGAGACTAGAGATGAAAATCATGCGCTTATGTACACCAAGGCATTGTTCGCACAGGAGCCCGCTTTTTGGTGGTTGTGCCAGTGACACTGTTGGAGCAATGGCGACGAGAGTTAGAGACTTGGGCCAGAATCCAAGACAGACTCTGAGATTTGTTTCTTTAAGTCTACCATAGATGTGAACGCATGTTGACTTGACTATTGAACGCGTCGTGAGATCGGTTCTTGTTTTGCAAAAAGATATCACCTACAGACTACAGATCAAGAAGCTGACAAAGTCGGAGGGAGATGGTGATGCAACTGGTTAGCGCATGTAAGAAGTCTTTGCTCATGATGATTTAGGTTTCATGCTTTGCAGAGGCGCAAAATACTGGCTTGGCAGTTCATGTGATGCACGGTGCACCACACGAGCGGGGATCGGCAATAAGGGGTTTGGCGGTCGCCTCAGGTTTTGTCACTAACCAAATGCATTCACGCTCAGTCGAGTAAGGCTGCTCGAAGTGGCGTTCTCTTGATTTCATATGTGCCAAGCTCGGCATTTTACATAGCATCAGCTGAGTACTGTTCACGGCACCGTGCTAGGATTTGGTTCGAACCTGTATCCATCAGATTTGTTTGCTTCTCAGAGTTCCAGATGCAAGCCGAGCATCCGTATGAAAGGAGCTCAGCCGAAGTTATTGTTCACAAGATGGGTGTGCTCGAATGGAAGGGTCAAGTGAAATATGACGAAATATGTGTTTGTTAAATTGTGTGATAATATGATAAGGACCCTCCACTCCTTTCCCCAATTTCAATGATTGATTCTAGTCATAGGGCGGTCCTCCCCTTGCAAAGTGCATCACAAGGGCCTATCAGTTCGTTCCTGGTCCGCATGGTGTGGAACCCACCACCTGCCATCACACATCACCATACAGATCATGAATGATAGAGTAGATTTCCACAAAGCGCAACTCACAGATAACCACCACGGATCAAGATGACACAGATCGTAACGCGAAGCGACCATGGATAATGAAAAACTACCACAGTCATCCACAGGCTAACCCCAGCACAATGCAGATTGCTAGAATCTCAGAGTTAGCTGAGTTGCCAAACATACCGTAAATGCGTTTCAAATTCAACACGCCTCATCCCAGATCATGGCAACTCACTCAAAACACCCATCTCTTGCTACAACCAAGTCCGCTCTACTGTTGTTTTCAAGAAGCTTGGGCTCACCTTACCTTGCAATTTCAGAAAGCTTGTAATAATAAGCAACATTCTAGAATTCTGCATAGTAAACCAATGTTACTGAGTCTTCGTTCTGGGGTGAGCAAAACATGAGACGTCTCAGAGGTTCCTCCCCTCTCTCCAACACCATCTCGAGGACCTCCTGGTGTGGGCCTTGTGTCCATCCAGCCTTGCTGACCTCGAACCTGCAAATGGCAAAAGCCCCGTCCTGTCAATCAGTTCAGACAAGGCAAATCCCACTTTCTCGACCACCAACAGTCCCCTGACTCCACTGCCACCACAATTACACCGCCGTAGACCCCAAACAGGTTAGACAACAACGAACCATTCCCAAGTCCACTTTTTGAGACATCAACAAGAAGGGAGACAAGATGGACACAATAACAAACAAGAACGGAGACAAGAAGAGAGACAAAAAGAAACACAGGGAGACAAAACGGACAGAGACGAAAAGAAACAGAAGAGAAACAAGACGGACACCATGACCAACAAAAAAGGATGCAACAAGAAACAGAAGGGAAACCAAACGGACACACGGACCAACAAGAACAGAGACAAGACCACGTACAAAGGGAGGCAGAAGGGAGACAAGGTGGACATAATGACCAACAAGAAGGGAGCCATAAAGTGCCATAAAGGGAGACAAGAAGAGATACAAAAGGAAACAGCAGTAGACGGACACAATGACCCACAAAAAAGGAGACAAGAAGGGAGACAAAAGGAAACAGAAGGAAGACAAGACGGACACAATGACCAACAAGAAGGGAGACAAGACCGGAGACAAAGGGAGACAAGAAGGGAGACAAGGCGGACACAATGACCAACAAGAGGGGAGACAAGAAGGGAGACAAAAGGAAACAAAAGGGAGACAATTTAAGACAGACACAGTGACAGACGAAAGGAAAAAAGGGAGACAAGAATCTAAGAAGGGAGACAAAAAGAAACACCAGGAGACAAGACGGACACACTAACCAACAAGAAGGGAGACAAGACCGGAGACAAAGGGAGACAGACAAAAGACAAAGCGGACACACTGACCAACAAGAAGGGAGACAAGACCGGAGACAAAGGAAGCAGAAGGGAGAGAAGGTGGACACAATGACCAACAAAAAGGGGGACAAGACGGGAGACAAAAGGAAATAGAAGAGAGACAAGGCGGACGCAGTCACAGACAAGAAGGGAGACAAAAGGAAACAGAAGGGAGACAAGACGGACAGTGACCAACAAGAAGGGAGACAAGACCGGAGACAAAGGGAGACAAGGCGGACACAACGACCAACCAGGACGGGAGACAAGAAGGGTGACAAACAAATGTGAATTTCAGCGGTTGTAGCCAGGGTGTATTGCGTACAGTTGATGCACCGTCGCTGCTGTTTCGGCTGAACAGGGCCCTTGAGCTGATTCGCTGCTGCGAAAAGGAACTGTGCGAGATTCAAACAAAGGAAAGGAGACACGACGGACACAGTGACCAACAAGAAGGGAGACAAGACCGGAGACAAAGGCAGACAAGAAGGGAGACAAGGCGGACACAATGACCAACAAGAAGGGAGACAAAAGGGAGACAAGAGGAACCAGAAAAGAAACAAGACGGACACAGTGACCAACAACAAGGGGGACAAGACCGGAGACACAAAGAAACAGGTGGACACAATGACCAACAAGGGAGACAAGAAGGGAGACAAAGGAAACAGAAGGGAGATAAGACGGACGCAGTGACCACCAAAAAGGGGCACCAACGAGAAGGGAGACAAGAAGGGAGACAAAAGATAACAGAAGACAGACAAGACGGACGCAGTGATCACCAAAAAGGGAGACAAGACCGGACACAGTGACCAACAGGAAGGGAGACAAGAGAGGAGACAAGACAAGGCGGACACAATGACCAACAAGAAGGGAGACAACAAGGGAGACACGAAGGGAGACAGCACCAACAAGAAGGGAGACAAAAGGGGACGGAAGGGAGACTGATGGGAAGCAGGTACTTGGTAGAGGTGGAAAGCAACTGGAGTGAAGTTGAAGAAAGTGGCGTAGGTGTTGTCGAGTGTGGCGAAGGAAGTCATGTGAAAGTTGAAAAAGCCTGAGGGTGGCTTGTGTCGGTGGAATGAGTAGCTCACGGAAGCGAAAGATGAGTTTCAACTGTGCGGCGGCTCTAGATCTCCAGGGTTCATCAATATGAAAGTGCTGGGACCACAGTAGGTAAAGTACATCCGGAGATGCAGCATGGCTCCGAAGAGTCTGAGAGGTGTAGAACTTCTCCTTGGTGTCACTGCCGAGACGGTGAAGGAGGTGAAGGACATCAGAAGAACGGCAGAGGTGTGGATCCAGCAAGCATTCTGGAGCATGATGGTGTGCGCGGCGACGTTGGTGTCGATGTAGCCGAGTGATCCGCCAGTCCTGGTGGTTGGAACAGAGTATTGAGGACGTTGGAGGCCAAGTCGGCCAGGGATGGTTAAGTTGAGGGTGATGATGGTGTTGATAGGCGACTTCAGTGGAGCGGGTAGTGAGGGTGCCTTTGCAGATTTCCATGGGGATGGCTGCGTGGTGGTAGAAGGCACGAGCGCATTGCCAGACACGTAGCGCAGGTTCAAGCGGTGATGCCACTGTGGACTGTGGAGCTGCTTGAACTTACGTAGGCGGGACATTTCACGATCGAAAAGAGTGTGAATGGAGGTGCCAATGTAGAAGGCGGCCCGGTGTGGGTGAATGCGGAGGTAGACCACCGCCGAGTGAAGATAGTCGCGAGGGTAAAGCGGTTGTCGGGCACGTAGACGATGCAGAAGAGGAAGAAGATTGGCGCGGCGAAAACTGTCAGGCAAAGTGCGCAGAAGTACCAGGCGGCAAAGTTTGCCTTGTGTGATCTCCAACCGTCGAAAGGCCATGGGTAGAAGGCGAATGAGAGCGTCCAAAGCAATACGGATTAAGCGACGTGGAGGGAGGATTGGAGCCACGCATTCTTCCCAGCTGCGCGGTAACTGGTCGTCCCGACAAAGATTAGCAAAGAAGGTTGAACCAGGTGCAAAAATCGATCCCAGTCCTGAAACTGATGATTGTGAATCAGGGGCCAGAAATCGTCGGTGGCAGTGCCGTGAAGCCAAAAAGGAATGGTCCAAATATGTTGTTGAGGACCAGGACCCAAACGAATCCCAAGGAAATCACCAACGAGGCGTATAGCGTGGCCAGAAGTCTCCAAGGTGTCAAGGCTAGGGCGACGGGATTCCCACCGAACTTTCCAGCGAGGTGGTTCCGCTGGGACTGCAGGAACGCCACTGGGCGCTGGTGCCGAAGACGATAGGTCGGCGAGGGAGGATATAGCATCACCTTCCGGTTCACGAGGTGGTCGAGTGGTCCAGTAATCCTCGTCGAAGTGCCAGGACCGGTAGCAGCAGAAGGTTCAGTGGGAGTGGGTGGAAGGAAGTGCGGAGGGCGGCGGTTGGTGGAAAGTGGAAAAGTCGAAACTGGGAGGTACGAAGGGGAAAGGATTGAAAGAAGGGATGAAATTGTGGAGGGAGCAGCCTGGAAAGAAAACGAATGTTGTCGAACTTGTTGACGAAGAAGTTGAAGTTCTGCAGCCTCATAGACAACAGTAAAATGAAGGTGTATAGAGGTGGGAAAGGCCTGTGGTGGTGTTACAGGTCGAGAAGGTGTGGAGGTATCATCTTCGAGGTTCTCGTGGTTGGATGCTGCATCCCCTGGGCCAGGAGTCAGTCGTACGGGTTAGGTGTCTGTTCGGAGGCAGGGCAAGTCAAAGTTGTGGAAGTAGTGTGAGCCGGCCGTCCAGTCCTTGAATCTCGTGGAGAGCGACCGCTGCGAGCTCCGTCTCGATGTACTGCGATGAGTACGAGGGTGCGAAATGGAGCGCCGGTGAGTCCGATCGCGGTCACGATGACGGTCTCGCGAGGGGAAACGGTGTTCACGGCCACGATGGTGATCACGAGAGGTGTGGTGTTCACGGCCTCGAGAGCGATCGCGTGGGGGAGTGTTATCTCGAGGTGCGATCCTCACCGCCTCGAGCACGATCACGTGATGGTGAATTCGACGGCCACGATGACGATCACGATCATGTCCAGTTGAACGACGTTCAGGAGCGATGTCCATCCCGGTCAGCTCGTCCGCGATCATCCCGATGGCAGTCTCGAGAACGAGGAGGATCGTGATCACGATTGCGAGCAGGAAGTTCCGGGATGTGAGGAGGAGGTGTAGCTGGAGGTGGAAGTGGTGGAAGAGTGAGATGTGAAGGGTGGAAAAGCGCCGGCGACGGGGAATATAGTGGTGCTCGTACTCGCGGGCGGCGCCACCGAAAGACGAGGACGAAAACTGAGGCCCGGACGTGGGGCGGTCCCCGAGGTGTAGGAGTCGTCAGACGTTGGGGAGGTGCGTGGGCAG